GGACGGGCAAGGATTGATTTGCATACGCCTCAGTGCTATGATAGCCATGTGAAAATGTGCTTTAAAATTCCCCTGAGCCAAACCTGTCTCCGTTAATATGCGTTTTGACCCTTTCTAAGTTGGTCTATGACGAAAAAATTTTTTCGCTCACCCAAAAATTTATTTGACTTCGAAATCCGGGCAACGGGCAAGCGTAGTGTAATTTATATTAATGGACGGGCAAGCGTAGTGTAATTTATAGTAATCGGGACGGGCAAGGAATCATTTGCATACAGCTCAGTGCTATGATAGCCATGTGAAAATGTGCTTTAAAATTTCCCTGAGCCAAACCTATCTCCGTTAATATGCGTTTTGAACCTTTCTAAGTCGATCTATGACGAAAAAATTTTTTCGATCTGCCAAAAATTTTCTAAGTGTCAAGCCTAGCTTTACTTGACTCCGAAATCCGGACAAGCGTAGTGTAATTTATATTAAATAGGACGGGCAAGGATTCATTTGCATACGGTTCAGTGCTATGATAGCCATGTGAAAATGTGCTTTAAAATTCCCCCGAGCCAAACCTATCTCCGTTAATATGCGTTTTGAACCTTTCTAAGTCGGTCTATGACGAAAATTTTTTTTCGCCCAGCCAAAAATTTTCTACGTGTCAAGCCTAGCTTTACTTGACTCAGGAAATCCGGGCAAGCGTAGTGTAATTTATAGGAATCGGGACGGGCAAGGAACATTTGCATACGGCTCAGTGCTATGATAGCCATGTGAAAATGCGCTTTAAAATTCCCCTGCGCCAAACCTTTCTCCGTTAGTATGCGTTTTGAACCTTTCTAAGTCGATCTATGACGAAAAAATTTTTTCGCTCACCCAAAAATTTTCTAAGTGCCAACCCTAGTTTTATATGACTGCGAAATCCGGGCAAGCGTAGTGTAATTTATAGTAATCGGGACGGGCAAGGAATCATTTGCATACGGCTCAGTGCTATGATAGCCATGTGAAAATGCGCTTTAAAATTCCCCTGAGCCAAACCTATCTCCGTTAGTATGCGTTTTGAACCTTTCTGAGTCGGTCTATGACGAAAAAAATTTTTCGATCAGCCAAAAATTTTCTAAGTGACAAGCCTAGCTTTATTTGACTCCGAAATCCGGGCAACGGGCAAGCGTAGTGTATTTTATAGTAATCGGGACGGGCAAGGAATCATTTGCATACGGCTCAGTGCTATGATAGCCATGTGAAAATGCGCTTTAAAATTCTCCTGAGCCAAACCTATCTCCGTTAGTATACGTTTTGAACCTTTCTAGGTCGATCTATGACGAAAAAATTTTTTCGATCAGCCAAAAATTTTCTAAGTGCCAACCCTAGTTTTATATGACTGCGAAATCCGGGCAAGCGTAGTGTAATTTATAGTAATCGGGACGGGCAAGGAATCATTTGCATACGGCTCAGTGCTATGATAGCCATGTGAAAATGCGCTTTAAAATTCCCCTGAGCCAAACCTATCTCCGTTAATATGCGTTTCGAACCTGCCCAACTTTCTTGCATGGAAATTTCCTGATCAAACCGGGGGTGGGGGGGAATTTGCTTAGAAAATTGTTTCTCGATTTGGAAAATTTTGAACACAAAGTTTGGTAATAACTAATAAGTATACAGTGTAAAAGTAGTCCAGGTATATAGAGAGTTCATCGGATTCAAAATGGAGTTTCTTCTTGGAGTTGAAGGGAAAGATTTTGTGATGGTTGCAAGCGATTGTAATCAAGGACGGAGCATTGTGCGAATGAAAGATGGTAAACTATAAATCCCTGATATTGTTTTGTCATAGTATGTATTGTTTGAACGCGTGTGGTGGTGTTTTTGCGTGATAACTCTCGCAAAATGCTGTGCTATATGTTTCTCAATTTTTTGCCTCGTGACTCAGCTTTTCTTCAATGCTTTAGTTGAATGGTGTTAAATTGTGCATTATAACGTTAAGGGGTCAATTGTAGTATATTAGTGCCATGTAGAAGTTAGAACTGGCTCATTCTTTAAAAGAACCCGTTCCATTTCATTAATTCAGTCTGCAATTCATGAATTAAAGACGTTTTCCTGAACAAATAAAATGGGATTTATTGAAGAAAGCAGCGGTCCAGTACAGTGGTTTGACTACCTTTCAGGCGTTCGTTGCAGGAGTTGTCAATAAAATTGGCATCCATTGTTGTAATCTCTTAGTAACACCTTAACTAAGGCTTTGTTTAGCAAGCTTGAAAAAACTTGGTGGATAGCATCATCTGGCCACAGAATAAGGCACACAGAAGGTCGACTCGAGTAACCGCTGCCACGCCATGATTCATCATCAAAATGCTGACGATATGGTCCTAGCCAGTGTGCGTTTGAGAGGCCTTTGTACAACTGTTCCCTTGGGTTTAGGTGTACTGTTTTACTGTAATTATATTTCTATCATTTTCATTACCAAACTGTGCAAAAAGAAACTTTGTGAAATTGTGAACCCCTAATTTTTTGGTGCACATAATTGCTTTTTTCTATGATGATTTGTCATTTGTAGGCCGTTCATTCACTTCCTGAGTCAATTAGGCAGAATTCACCCTTCTGGAAAATGCGTCGTTTTGGCCATAGAGCCTCGTTTTTGCATGTGACATTAGTTAAAGCATAATGTCTCAATCATGAGAATGAGGCTCTATATCCAAGGCGACATACTTTCCGTAAGGGTGTATTCCACATTCATGTGCATTGAAGAATATTAAATTGACAAATATTTTAGATTACGACAAAATGTTCAAATTAAGTGACCAACTGGTGATGTTGGTCACAGGAGAGTCTGGTGATACTGTCCAGTTTGCCGAGTACATAGAGAAGAATATTCAGTTGTATAAGATGAGAAATGGTAAGTTTAGGGAGAAAATGACAGCCACAGGTCAGTGACAAAAATCACCCCAAGTTAATGTCTTCAATATTGTTATTAATCTTGCATGATCTGGGCCAGTGTAGGTAGTGGCAAAAATAAGAAAGCACTTCGGATTGATAGTGATACAACTACCTGAAAATACAAGGAGAACTTCAATGATTCGAGCAAAGGCCCTTCATCAAGCCTTGTTGTTAGCATCTGAGTATGAACATTTAATAAATTTAGCAAATTAATAAAAACACTATCTTTTGCTAACCTCGTCCACAGGCATCTCTTAAACTAGCTCTAAGAAATGCCTGCAGAGGAGCTAGCCTTTGCCAAATGAAATCTAAGAAATGCCAAAACTCCGTTTTCAAATACCAAAACTGTGTTTTCAAATGCCAAAACTGTGTTTTCAAATGCCAAAACTGTGTTTTCAAATCCCAAAACTCAGTTTTCAAATGCCAAAACTCTGTTTTCAAATCCCAAAACTCTGTTTTTCATGCCAGAACTCATAATGGGAATTGTCCATTGTTTGCCAATTAAAACATGATAATTGTAACATATAGGATATGAATTATCACCACATGCTGCAGTGAACTTCACCAGAAAAGAACTTGCTGACTATCTTCGTAGTCGGGTATGTTATCTTTCATAAATGTTTTTAAATTTGCTTCTTTAGTTGTACAGTATAACCTTGTTAGAACTGGTTATAAATGTCTCAACAGTAGTGTCCTCTCTTCCCACTAGACTCCATATCAAGTGAACTTATTACTGGCTGGTTATGACAAGCATTCAGGACCAGAATTATATTACATGGATTATTTAGCATCACAGCAGAAGGTAACACAACACTGTATTATCAACTACTATTGGTGCTAAAGCAACCTAATTTCTACCCTTCTTGTTAACATTGACTACTATCCGGCGGAGGTAATTTGCAGAACGCAAAACGCAACTTTTGTACTTTTGCTCAGCTTTTACGGGGTTGGGACTCTAACCCTAACACTTTCGGACAGTTTTTACATATCACCACTGAGCAAAAGTACAGAAGTCGCATTCTGGAAATTCCCGCCCTCTACTATCCAGTGATTCTACTCAAATGTTTTCTCCAAAAGGTACCATATGCTGCTCATGGTTATGGAGCTTTTTTTACCATGGGAATTTTGGACAGATATTATCAAGCAGGTACATAAATGTAGTCAATCTGGTTGATGTTGCATTTCCTAAAGCATTAGGAATTATTCATAGAAATCCTCCACAAATTTACACTAAAATGATCTTTTTATTGTGTTTTTTCAAGATATGTCTTTAGAAGAAGCTCGAAAAGTGATAAAGCAATGCATTTCTGAAGTATGGTTTGAGAATAGGCATTGTTTGTTTGTTTGTTTGTTTGTTTGTTTGTTTATTTGTTGGTTTGTTTGTTGGTTTGTTTGTTTGTTTGTTTGTTTGTTTGTTTGTTTGTTTGTTTGTTTGTTTGTTTGTTTGTTTGTTTGTTTGTTTGTTTGTTTGTTTGTTTGTTTGTTTGTTTGTTTGTTTGTTTGTTTGTTTGTTTGTTTGTTTGTTTGGTTGTTTGTTTGTTTGTTTGTTTGTTTGTTTGTTTGTTTGTTTGTTTGTTTGTTTGTTTGTTTGTTTGTTTGTTTGTTTGTTTGTTTGTTTGTTTGTTTGTTTGTTTGTTTGTTTGTTTGTTTGTTTGTTTGTTTGTTTGCTTGCTTGTTTGTTTGTTTGTTTGTTTGTTTGTTTGTTTGTTTGTTTGTTTGTTTGTTTGTTTGTTTGTTTGTTTGTTTGTTTGTTTGTTTGTTTGTTTGTTTGTTTGTTTGTTTGTTTGTTTGTTTGTTTGTTTGTTTGATGAAGAGTTTTTAAATTTAACTTGCTGTGTCCAAATATTAAATATCTATAGCTGAACACAGGATGTCACCCCTAAGATATCATCCCCACAACAACAAAAAGTGTCAAAAATGTATTTCATCTACTAAACTGTTCATTTTCTTCCACTATGTAGCTCCAGAAACGATTCTTAATAAGCATGCCAAATTTTATAATTCGTTACATCGACAAAGACGGCATCCATGATCTTGAAAAACCAGACACTGTTGTTCCATTGTAAAATGCCACCATATGTCCTTCACAGCGTTGGTATGAAAAGGTAAACAATACCTTAGCGAGACTGTCCTGGTTTTGTTCAATTCATACATTTTCCTAAGCAATACATTGTTTAGAAATCAATTATTGCTGTACATGTGTGTCCATTTAGTACATATTAAATGTTACTATAGATAGTTCTTATTAAATGTTACCATACATGTTTCTGGGTTCCTTGTTGTTTTGCTTGGGTGTGAAATGAACTATCATTTACTTATTCATTTTCCCAACGTTGATTGGCTAATTTTTCTACAAAAAACTGCTGAGAATAGTCAGCTGCAAATAACTGGTGCAAATAATGTCTGAGCATGCGCTCTTAGTATTTATCATACATTGTTTAGTATTTATTGTTTAATGTATTTTTGTTGTAATTCGTTGAGCTTAGGTTAATTGTTTGTATTATTTATTTGTCAAATCTGCCTCTTTAATTATGCTTTATGTTTATATACTTGTCGTTTTAAAGGACAACTGTCTCGATTAGTCCCTACGGTTACTACAGTTGCCCTGCACTATACTGTTATTTAATTTTCGTTTTTGTAAATACTTCCCTTGTAACTGTTAATAGTGCTTAATAAAATTTGTTGTTGTTGTTAAAAAAATTGCAAAATATCGCATGCTCATTTAAATTTTTTAAAAGCAATTCAAATAAACACAAAAGTAAACATGGTTCGTTTTGCTGGGCTTTCAGAAGACGACTTGGCGTTATTGTACAGATTTGTTGAAATTCGTGACTGCCACAATATTTCGAAAATGAATAAGTAAATGATAAAACAATTATTGAACTTGGTTATCGCAAAATATCGTGATTTGTCGGTGGCTCACAGATCAATTATTTACCTCTGCCTTCGGCATCTGCAAATGATTTATCTGCTCGCCACTGACAAATCACGATATTTTGCTCAATCTCCTTGACAAAGCTGTCACTCCGTTAGTCTGGATCAGTGCAAATAATGAAGATTTACTCAAGTTACGTATTTAATTAAATTATATAGTCGATGGTTCCCGCAATTTATTTGGTTCAATAATACTTTAATACTACGCTTGTAACGACATCGAATTTAACGGTTTAGGAATATTTTAAAGCCGGTTTTCCACTTGGCGGAACTTGGCGCGCGGAGTTTTTCTTTGTCTTTTCGAATTAATTCCACCCGGCCCAAGAAATCACAAGACAAAGAAAAATTCCGCTCTGCGCGCAAAATTTCGCCAAGTGGAAAATCGGCTTTTCATTTAAAATTGCGGTTATATGGTTAGGGAATGAATATCTGGCTCACTCCTTTAATGTTTTTGACGCTGCCAGCACCCACGCATGTTCTTGCCAGAGTAATGGCGGCCTAGCAAACAACTATAATAAAATGTATTGTGAAATTGACATCGGTGCTACTAAATCCTGTATTTTTATAATTCTGATAATAAACCCCCCGAAAGCGGAAAAATACAGAATTTAGTAGCACCGATGTCAATTTCACAATGCATTTTACTACAGTTACTTGCTAGGCCGCCATTACTCTGGCGAGAACATGCGTGGGTGCCAGCGACGTCAAAAACATCAAAGGAGTGAGCCATCTCTTCATTCCCTAATCTATGCCTATAGCGTAAATAATTACATGTTAACCGCTTAACGTGAGACGATGGCGAGCAGACGTGTTAACGTGAGCTCTGCAGATTTGGCTGATTCTTTGCTAGAATTTATAAATGATGATACTAATAATATCTTTATCGACGAAAGTAAAACATTTTCAACTCTTATACATGTTGACGAGGACAATTATTTCTGGAATGGTGAATTATCTCAGCTAAAAAGTTTTGTCCAAAATATCTTAAAGTTGACCGGCATATGGACTTCACCTGGTGGTGAAACAAAGGTGTTCAAAAGCAACGAAGTTACCTTGAAATGGTCGGGTCAAACGCGTAGAAAGCTAGCAATTATAAAGGATACG